CATATATATATATATATATATATATATATAAGAGATATAAGCTAGTTCCTAATTAAAGGATATAATTTATTAGAATAATTCATCAGTCCAGTTGAAAGGTTTATTAGTGCTGTAAATCAACTCGTTATAAAAAAGGGTGATAAAATTGTATGTCCAAACTCATAAAATGAGAAGGAAAACTTATCGAACAATTGATGAAGTAGATTTATATAAAAGAGGATTTTGATATGACAATTTGTATTATATTAGGCATTTTTGAGGGAATATAACCTTAAATGTTATAGTATTTTATCGCATATTGATTGTTGACTCATTTTAGAACATTGGGTCTCGTATTATTCATGAATTCATACAACCTGAGAAGAATCTGTGTAAGGAAGACAAAGGAGGAGAATGGACATTTCTCCGGCCATGTCTGAACTATTCCCAAGAAGAGCGGCGAAGATGACCTAATATACAAAAAAGAAAGAATTAGAGAGGAAGCAAGAAGGACCCCGAGAGAATTACAACATGAGATCCTAGAGAGTGAGGGAGGGGTCTGATCGTAAAATTTACCCACATTGTCTTGATGAAAATATAGTGACCTAGTTATGAGGTGGCTCATAAATGAGGTTACAACCTATGTGAGTCATCCATCGACGTAAATTTTAACCTTTTGTACTCTATCAATTTCGAGGATTACTATTGAGGCGAGCTGGAAGGATGAATATGTTCAACCTGTCAGCTAGATGAATTAGACATGTCAATCCACACTAAGCCGATTCTGTACAAGACAAGATGAGTGGGGTGAACATGCCACTTTAGCAAATTATTCCAGCAATGGATTTATCTTTTGAATAGATGAGCTTATCAAGTACCTGAAGAGTGTTCATATATACTTACCAATGGAGAAATAAATAGTATGGAGAGATGATTTTTTATGTTAGTAGTCCACATAATATCCATTTTATCATTGTATGAGCTTCCAACAAACTTGTGATTGGACTTCATATGCATTTTAGCTTGGAACTATGTAATGAAATGTAGATTAAAGTTGTTATCTTAGAATTTTAAATTAGGGTTGATCAATTATGCCTTGCAAAGCATGGTTTAGAAAGTAATTAGGTCAAAAATGACTTATATGAGAGACTAAAAAGGAAACATTAGATATAATCTTACTGAGTGATTTGTAGCCCAAGTCATTACTCAAATATTAATCCCTTTGAGCAATCATGATTACAGTAAATATGTATAGTGAAGCATCTTCTAAGATCAAACATATTTAAGATAAGCTCTCTCTCTCTCTCTCTCTCTCTCTCTTTCTCTGTATATATATATTTATATATAAAGGAATGAGCAGAGGCTATTACACGAGTACCACACCCTACACTACACTCGAGGGGCATATATAAATATATATATGTTGGAACATTGCCATAACAAATTTGAGGAGATCTAACGGTCATAAAGACAAACTGAATATCAAAAGGTGGATCCAAAAAAACCTAGGGGCTCAGATGCCAGACAAGATGAACCAACTCAAAACCAACTGTAGTAAAGATGAGTATAGGACACAAGCTAAGCAACTCACGCAGACATACAAACAAACGATCATCTGAACCTAACGCCTCGAAGCAGCCAAACCCGAGGAAGGCGCCAATCCCTCGGTTCATATGATAATACCAGGGGTGACCAGCAAGACTTAGCCGATCAGATCAGTCCTACCGACCCCTAGCCAGTAGAAGATCAACCAAACGACAACATCTACCAGATGCAGTTGTTCAACAAAGCTCGCCAAAGTTCTACCAAACCTAGTCGGTCGAATTAGAGAGCAACTAGACCTTTGGCCCACAAGGGTGAAATACATAGAATAAATTGTACAACCCTTAATTAAGCAGGAGCATAAATGTAACTTCACATCTTGTACCTTCTTTGTCTATAAATAAAAGACCACACAATCCCCTCATTTTAATATTTATTATTGTGCACTCTTCTCTCTCGCTCTATTTTTGGTTCTGCACTTTATTCTTTGGGTGTGATTCACACAAATCACGATTCAACAGATATGAAGGATTTTTCCAGCATAAATAGAAAAGGCAAGGTTTAGCGATATAAACTCATACAAATTGGGTGGCTTGTATGCAAATTCCCGTATAAATAAAAAGTGATCTTTTGTCTGCCCGCCTCCGCTCACATGCCCGCCGCCCGCCTCTGCCCATGAGCCAGTCGCCGGTCTCCGCCCATGAGCCGGTCGCCGGTCTCCCCCAATTTGTTGGGAGAGATGCATATACCAAACAAATCTCCACATTGGCGAATATCTAGTACCTTAGGAGAAATGCATACGCCTAACAAATCTTCACTTTGGCGAATATCCAACCCCTTAGGAAAAATGCAACATGGAGTTTCTTAAACCGAAGTGGGTTGGACCACCACGCTTCTACTGTGCCCTCACTCCCCCCCAACCCACTAAATTCTAAGAGACACTCCTCTTCTATTCCAAGAGACATCTCCTCATTTCTAGAGACTCCAAATTCTGGTATTATGAGTCATATCTACCAAATCTTCACCTTGGCGAATATCCAGCCCCATAAGAGAAATACATATGCCTCACAAATCTCCACATTGGCGAATATACAACCCCTTAGGAGAAATACATATGTCTGACAAATCTCCACCTTGACGAATATTCGACCCCTTAGGAGAAAACTACATCATAAAGTTTCTTATGCACCAGAGTGAGTTGGGCCACAAATCCTTTTAAATGATCCCTTAATTAAGTTTCCAAGAAAAATAAATTTTCCTTAATTAAGTTTCCAAGAAAAATCATTTTCCCTTAATTAAATTTTCCAAGAAATCCTTTTTCTTTACTTCCAAGAAGAGCCCCCTTTCCTTCCAAAAAAGCTTCGTCTTCCAGAAAAGCTCCACTTTAATTAAGCCTTAATTGAGCCTGCAGCAAATGGAATCAATCTTCCGCAATTCCTTCTATTTCCTGTGCAAAATTCGCAGCTAGCAGAGGAAACAAATTCCGCGACGAATCACCCTCCGTCTCCTTCCTCATGCAATAGAAATTTTGAAATAGCCTTCCTTTCGGAAATCACCTCCAATGATAATGGGGATTCCTCCAAAATTTCCTTCCCGTTTTTCCTTCCCGTAGCCGCCTCTTCCCTCAGCCTCCAAAAGAAATCGATCTTTCCAATTATGCCCGACTCCATAAAATGAATCTCTCGCCTAAATCGCCGAATCCTTGACTTCCTACCTAAATCGTCGAATCCTCCTGGATTGAAAACTCGCAGATTCAGTGCATCCCCGAATGTCGTCTGAGGACTCGAATTATCGTAACAGGCGAAACTCCTTCTCTGAATCTTGCCCGATGGCGGACGATCTCCTTCGTCGAAACTGCCGCGATTCGAAAATCCCTCGACTCGACTGCTCTTCCTCCAGCCTCCTGTGGGAACTGTGCAATCGCGAACCCACGCGAATCCTGGCCTTTGTCGCAATTCGAATTGCCGGCGTTGAAGTCACCAAAATTCACCAAACTCTTCTGCCCTAGCTGTCAAATCTCCCCTGCCAAAATCTTTTTATTCCTACACCACCCAAATTTTTCTTTCTTGTCCTCGAACGTCGCTCTGGACCACTTGTTGAGAAATTAGGCGAAGAAAAAACAGGAATCGACACAAATCCAGAAGAATACACAGAGATTTAACGAGGTTCGACAAAGATACTTACATCCTCGGGAGCAGATTGACGACTTCTTTTTCAACATTCAGAAAAAAGTACAAAATACAAGATTCAGCTCACCTAGGGTTACAGACAAGACATGTATATAATCCTATAGTACAATATATAATTACTTAAATTATTTTGTACCAAACCGGGAGGTGTTGCCCCCGCACCCCCAACCCTAAACCCTAAACTCTAAGTATTTCTAATACACTGTAATCATAATACACTGCAAATTACATTTACGATATATTATTTCTCCCACTCTCATTAGAAATCTAAATTCCCTCGCTAAACTAATGAGGAATCATTTTAAAAGCCAATAAGAAAATGAAGGCACAAATGCGACAGATCTCACTTAATAAAAATTAAACTATTGGTACCACTAGACACATCAATGTACATTTAACCAACTAAATATTAAAATTTATGTCTTAAAGATAAAACTATAAAAGAATTATGTGGCGTACACCCAAAAATGATCTGCATAAATTTTAAGACAACTTAAATGATGAAAATACGTCTAAAATTAATTATGACTATAAAAAATACTATAGAGACCTATAATAAGTGACATAATAATAAAATAATAATAATAATAATATTATTACTATGTAATTATCCCATTAGAGTAGGGGCAAGTTAGTAATTTTAGACTTAATTTCTCTTCCTTTTTCTCCTATAAATAGAACGTCGCTGTCAAAGCCCACTTGCCTTATTTCAATGTTATCATTTGAAGGCTGACGGGAGTTTTTATTGCTTTAGCCAACTCATATTTTTCATTTTCATTAATTTCAACATAATTGCCCTTCATGTGTACATAAAAAGTGTCAGCATGAATCTCGCAGAGATTTGAAGGCGCAAACAAAATAAGTTGTGTCAATGGAGGTCCTACCAATGAGAAACTTGGAGGCCCGTGTATCATAGCAGAAGCATCGAGACTAAATCCAATCAAGAAAATCAAGCGGCTCAATTCTAAGCACTTATACCGATAACTCCGTGCAATGAAATCGACCAAAAGGGGAAAGCTAGCCAC